ATTCCTGCAGAGTATTACCTGAAGAAATCGGAATATGTAGAAAACAAAACCAAGAACCTTCACTCTGTTTCCAACTTATCTATTGATGTCAAAATAACTTTCAGGAAAGGTTTGATACAACACTATTGCATATATTGCAGAAAAAAAATGTAGTCTCATTGTAGAAGACAAGAAACAGTTTTCAATTAATTCTACAATGTAATTTACTAAGAGAGCATAATTTAAAGAGCTAAAGGAAAACATGAGGTATTCAGTTTAGAATACTGTTCAGAAACCTCTGACTTTCTATCCTTTTTTCCTTTAAAGAAGTAAACATTTTTACACGCAAAACAGAAGTTGTCTACTCGTGAAGTAATTTGTTCCTCATGCTACTGTGTTCCTCCTGAAATCCAGATGCATCATCATATTGGCTTTTTTAAAAACAGTTTCAATTTAGTATGTCTATCTAACTGCAATTTATGCGGGTTTTTTTCTTCATTGCATAGGAAAAACCTCTTCCATATTTACCTCTACCCTTCAAACTGTCTTCTCCAGAAGCTCATGCAGTAGAAACACAAAATTCCTTAACATACAACAGGGAGACTAGTACAATATGCTTGTATTGTTTGGATTAAAAATTCATATAAATGCAAAACCATGACCCTAAAATCCTTATTATGGGCAGTGCGAAATCAATACACAAAGCCAGTGCCTAAGCATTCTGCAGAGCCTCAGCGTGGAAAAGGAGGGCACCTCACCTCACCTCACGCTCTGAACTGCTGCATGGAGGCTGTCCGGGCCGCCTTCAGCCTGGCCGCGTCACTGTGCTGTAGAGCCTGGAATGGTTTTGAAACTACGGAAAGTCCCATAATAATGTAACACCAAATGAAGGAAAGGGATGGTGTTTCTGTGCGCTCGGCCTCTCTGTAAGACTCTGTGAGCACTGCTAGCAACTCAGATGGCAAAGCACGTGGTTTTCACCTTTAATTCAGTTTCTCTAAATGGCCAACATTGCAAAAGAAAGGAGAAACAGCTCTGGGTACCTCGCACAGCAGAACCGTAAGGAAACACAGATCTTGTGTGTAGCTGATTTAGTTGGGAAAGAACTTCAGCACTTACCCCATCTGTGCAGGAGGAACAAAGCTCTCCTGGACTGGTACCAGTTTCTATTCGCTTTGCAACAAACCCTACACACCGCTTATGTTCCAGCCTTCTCTGAATTTCCCTTTTTGTTAGCTTGCTTTTTTAGCTGGGTACATGTACTCTCTGAAAATCAAGGTGACTACAAGAATACTCAGTAACAGAATCAAACGCTCATTCCATTTTCTGTTGTCTACTTACATTTTATTACAGACTAATATGAAACCATCTCATATTCATACTAGAATTTTTTTAATTACTCGTGAGCAAACTTAAACCAGTCTTGACTGTTTATATTTATTGCAAGCAGATTCATGTCTCCTGCTTATATATTCTACATAAGGATCCAAAATGTGACTGAATATAAACAAGTTATATTTGGTTATCTACAGAAATAAAAGTTAAAAATAACACTGAAAAGAAACTTTACAGTAACGTATTCAACACACTGACTCTTCAAATCAAATAAAGGAAGTGGTATAAGGTAATCTAAACATTAGATTTGAAGGCTGATTTATTTTCAAATAAATGCACCTACAATCGTATAATTAAAAATAAGTGTCAGTATTTGGTGCTGATGACTACAAACATCTTTAATGTTTAATGCACAGATAACTAACCCCCAGCCCCCATACAGCAACTGTCGCAGATTCTACTTTACATTAGATCGTGAAAGGACATTTAAAATGCAATGTGCACATAAGCACAGAATTTATGCCAGAGACAACGCAGATTAAAATTCTGTGAATTTTTGTAAGGTAAAAAATTAAAACTATATAAACTGATTTTTAGATTACTCTGCAAAGTAGAATCACGTACTTTTTCACTTTCATAATACTTTCACAAATTTCCATTAAAGCTTTTTTAACAGAGACAGTAGCATGAGCACAACGATCCCACTGGCTTCCAAAAGAAAAGTAGTGCAGTTGCTCAATTAAGCAATTTTGTCCTTTTATATTTGCAAGCCAGTTGGGTCAAGACAAACAGGCTAACGCAAGCAAGAAAGTAAACTGTAAGCTTTTACATTAAGTGGCTGAACGAACAATTATTGTACGTGGTAAAACAAAACAGATCTTTTGCCACAAGCCACTGCAGGAATATATGAACTTCAGTGGCTGAAAAGCTTGAAATACTTTCTAAGTCTTCACATACATTTGGTTAGCGCTTACCAGTTTCAAGACATTTATAGAAGCAGTTATGGAGAGACTATGTTGTTAAAGCTGCAACAATTTAAACAAGGCAAGTTAGGAAGTTATATAGATTTTTATACTTTCCCCCTTTAATTCGTTCCAATACATAGAAATCTGTCTCCTTTCAGTGTCCCATCCCTAATGAAACATTCTAATGCATTTTGATCTGACTTCTACTTTCTCATCTCTGATCCATTTACAACGAAACGCCAAGTGAACACCTGCTGCAGCGGACTAGGTTTGCACGACAACAGTAACAGGGACTGAAGCAAAAGCACATCAAGTGAAACTGAGCTGATATTTTATGTTTTTTCCTTTAAACGGTCTATTTTAAGAAACAAACAGTACCAACTTTTAAAGATAAAAGTATTGCTGAATCAAAGCAGAAACTTCCACTGAAATTCAAGCATTCTTTCTCCTCCCAAAAATGACACGTTTAACTAAAATTTCCCAAGCACTCACACAGGTGCTTCAGCCTGAACTACACTGTCAATAGTTTCTAAGTGCAGGGCTACATGAAGTTTGCAATGAACTGCTTTGTTAGTAGGCAGAACAGGAATGCAGCATTTTCAAAAACATCAAGCAAAAATCTCCTTATTTAAGGCTAAAAGATGGAAGTTGGAAAAGTAAAAAAGCAGGAGGCTTTATAGAGTAAAAAAGCCAGCAGTAACAGTGTAGCACTGAAAGTACAGCGCTCTAATCGCCGCGCTCACAAATACCAACAGAACAGCAATAGTTTGGGTGAGACTAACAGAGCAATAGACCTGTATTTCTAATTTGACATTCATTAGAATTTTAACATTCAGCCACAACTCCACTCTAAGCTAAATTTAAGTGGCCAAAACTCATACGTATAAAAAAAGCCTTCAAAACATATACTTAAAAAAAATAGAAATGGTGTGTTAACAAATGTATGCGTAAAACAGATTTATAAATAGCTACAGTATGAAAAATATTTCAGTGCAAAGGCAATTTTAAGATTTCTAAAAAATACATTACAAATAATTTGTTAACTACACACAAGAAATTTGTCACTGCTACTGGTATAAAATTTATACCCATATTAACTTCTTAAAAATATATACACCAGTGTTTTATGCAGGGGACGGTTTTAACTGACCAACATTCAAGACTGCAATGGCAAGTACATGTACACACACCCACACACATATTTATGTATTTCAAAATGTTACTGCTGTGAGGACATTCTTTGAAACTTAAAAGTGCTACATGTTAAATGGTAAAAATACCGTCATCTGTGGTGCTCACCATTAGACTTAAAATTCTCTTATCTTTGGTATACTGAATATGTCACAACTCGCTTTACAATCTCTGCTCGTCCCAGCACATTTTAATAACATTTCACTCTTTGTGTAATGTGAAAACCACTCGGACTATCATGGGGAACATTTCCTAGTAAGCTAATTTTTCTGTTATTAAAAAGTAAATTAGTAAGTGAACTATTTTGCCTCTGTTTTTTTTTTAAACACAAAAAAGGAAATAATTTTTCTCTGTCACCCTAGACCATCTGAAAGCCAACTAACAGTGTCTTGGCCAGGTCTTCCGATAAAGGCTGCAGCTCTGATGCCAAATACTTTGTTTTCACACTGAAATAAATTTTTAGCTAATGTCCTCCCAGAGGTGTTTAATGACTCTGGTTATTAACCAGTTCTAACCACCAGGTTGAAACTGATTGAAATCAGATTACTCCTTCAGGTATTTTTGCACCCCAAAATAAAACACTGGACTAAAGAAACAAGACAAGCTAATAGATGAAATAGTGCAAGGTAACATAAACGTAGCAGAGAAAACAGAAGTGCAAGTTGGCTGTCAGTCTTGAAGTAATTCCAACAGAATCCTTGCAGTCAAACTAGTTCCTGTATCACAACTACAGTTCAATTGTTAGTAAACAGCCATGTGCCACCTCGTGGTTTGCTTGCAAAAGTTAACAGTTGTGTGCTTTGCAAGACAGCTACCAAGCCCATTAGCTGGTATTTAACCATACACACACACACAAAAAAAAAAAAAAAATCAAAATTAAGAGGACGAACCCAGATTTGGATTTATTTGGAAAACTAGCCTTTCTTCTTTTAAGGAAAAAAATGTGCCAAAAAAAGCTTTATATATAATACTTTCTGCTATGTGTGTTTCACAATCATGGGGATAGGAAGTGGGAACACCAGGTCAACTGCACCTTTGGGAAATTCACAAAGACCTTTTAGGCAAAATGCGTACGTTCAGTTTTTGAGTAGGTATCAGCATTGATGGTATTTTCCTACTTAACAGCCAACTTGACTTCATACAGTGCGTACATACTCTACACAAGGATTGTTTTGCCTATCTTTCTACAGGGGAAAACTAACTGAAAACCAGACATAGCCCTGATTTGGCCACTTACAAGGAAGTGAACATTAGAGAGTGTTTCTTGAAAGCAGATTTGCACAGAGGAAACACCAGTTTGTTCTACAGAAAGAGCAAAGAAAGAAAAAGGACAGAGGAAAATCAGAAACAGTACTTGTTAAACAGACTTTTGTTGGAGATAACTGAGGTCGTTGCTCCTGGCTGAAAATTAAAACTGTTGATCTTAAAATGTAGGTCACTGACTGAAACTATACACTTTGAGTAACAAAGAAAATGACTAAAGATGACAGAAGCAGTAAATGCACAAAAGTCTTGACAAAGGATGAAGAGAATTTTTAGTGCTACCATTCTCACAGTACCAGACTGTGCAGATTGTTCATTGCTCCAGTAGTTCAAAACATAAAAAGAAGCCTATTGGCCCTGAAGGGTTCATACGTCTAGCTCTTGATGCTGTTTGTCTGAACACTACCTCAGACAGCAAAAGCCACATATAGTTTAATATATTTCTGTGACACGTTTGTTTCCTGAAAAAAGAAATAACCAAAAATACAGTTTTTAAAGGCTTGACTTGGTGTTCTGTCATACAGAGGTTTCCAAACCTGACCCACTGTAGCGGTAGCCTGCACTGGAACGGCAATGCTTATTTGAATAGCCAAAGACAGATGGAAGTACTGAATAATCAACGCCTCTCCAGTGCGTAAACATCATTTTTTTAGAATGAGAATTAGACCTTCTTGCTGGGGAATTGCTGCAGTCACTGCTCCTGTATCTTGGGCTTTTCAGACAGGCAAGAGGTGTGAATTCTGAGATGTGCTCCTGACAGTGCCTCGATGCATTCTGTTAAAAGGAAAAAAAAAAACAAAATACACAGTGAATAGATGATTTCTGAGCTAAAAGTCTACAACCGTGTTCTTTCGTAGGGCCATTGCGCCCTTGGTATAATAATGCCTTTCACTAGATCACCACTCAGGCTACTTTTTTCATGTAAAGGTACAACCCTTCATGTTGTTGAGCAATCAACCACTGTCAACATGATTAGTTCTATATTAAGACCTACAGAACAAGGCATAATTTTGCATATAATCTCTAAATCTGATAATGGGCTCTTTAGCGAACAGATGAAGACACAGCAGCACTGCTTTCAAGTGGAATGCTTTTAAATCAGATTTATATTTAATTTTGCAATCTCTCCTGCTACATCTTTTTATCTCTGAGCTTCTTTAGTCAGGACTTCTTACAGGGAATTTTAAGACAGAACAGATGCAAGTACTTTGCCCTATACTTCCAAAGAGAGGGAATTCTTTACAGTTTGTTTGTGCCAATAGATGAAAGTTCCAGAGGTTTAATACACTTGCTTTGTACTTCTAAGCAGTATCTGATTTTGGACTTGCTTAGGTTACATGTAGCATCTATAACACACAATTTACACTACCCATCGCTGTACTATCTTGGTCTAATTGTCCATTAAAATTTATCTGTACCACACAATCACTTTGCACTCTGGCAGAATCAGCACTTCCACTCAGGAAATACTCAGGACTACCGTAACACCATGGCTGCAAGACAAGATCCTGGAACATATGCACAGACTAAAGGAAAATTAGCACAGCACTTTCCCCAATGAGTTTATCTAATTTCTTCTCACTAAATGGACATATAATTTCCAGGTATAAAGGTTATGTGATGGTATTTAAGATATAAATGCATTATAAGCATGATTCTAATGAACGTTATTGATCAGTCTCTCCGGGAATGCTATATAAGCCAGCTAATTCTCTGTTCTTAATCATGCCCTCCCTCCTTCCCTGTTAACAGCAACACAATAGCAAAAGGGACAAAAATAACAAAATGAATATTAATGATGTAGCTTATAGAAGTTTGGTTGAGATTTAATATTACAATTTCAATGCCAATCACAAGCTTGAAATACTACTCCTGCATAATCAAGAGCAATCAGAAGGCTTTCTTAGAACAGTCCCTCTTGGGAAAGTCAGCAAAGTCTATCAAACTGCTCACTAACAGTGAGGCCTGGGTTCATTTAAACACACATATAGACCAAATACCAACATTAACACAGGAAAATGTAGATAATCAGGTAACAGATTAGCAGACTTTACGGAAATGTCAAAGGGAGTAGTCATACACTGTATGGTAACTATTTTTTCCTGTTTTTCCAGCTATAAACTGAAACATTTTAGTTATCATACATATTTCTAAAAGTAAAATCATGGGTTTTTTCTACACATGGCTCCAAGGCAAGCGCTTTCCATCTGCCATGCCTGAAGCTACTCAAGAAAGCTGCGGTTTTTCTACTACTACTTGTCTAGCAGTCATTAAAAGTGCATCAAACGCATCCCTCAACTACCTTGAAGCCTTACAGCCCACACCAGCACACTACATTGCATTTGTCCTCTTCACACATTGGTACTTTGTACCTTCACCTAATTCTTCATGTGCTGCATTTGGGGTCAGGAGAGCATGAAGGGACTGAAGCAGATACGGCATCCAGGTGGGAATGTATTTGCGTAAAAAGCATACCTGCCTTCTTATACTTTTTTCCGTAATCAGTGCTGCGACAAGGAGATGATGTAAAGCAGAGATCTTCATTGCGCTGCCCTAATGTCTGGAGGCTTTAGGAGCTCACGACTCATGCTGCTGTCTCAGGTACTTGGCAAGACTATCACGCTTCCTTCTCGATCTGAGGCAGTGATGCAGCAACGCACTGGTCTATACAGAACACGTTACTACAGTAGACGCTGTCAGATGCACAGCCCCAGTCTCCTGACCCAAGGTCCTACTCACAGTAACTCACTTCTGTTTGTATGGCTAACCTCCTCTTTTAGTGTTTGCATTTGGTCTATATGTGTATTCAAGAGCATGAGAGATGACAGATAAACGGCTGGCGTGTGACTTCATGTATTCTACACCATGGTGTAATGGGAGTAGACTGCAGTAACGACTGCAGTTCTTATAGC